ATGGGGTTTTGTCAAAAAAGAGTTCATAAGGAGTTTTCTTAAATCTAGGTCTAATCAAGATACGATTTAAAACATAGCAAGCCGTATTCACGGTTTCTGCCCAAAAATACTTAGGAAAACAAAAGCATTTATCATTATACGTGCTATCTCTTGTATGGTTCGATTTTTACATTCAACAACGTCATTTTGTTGTAGTGTTATAGGAGCGGAAACCATATGAGTTATACCACGATGAGCACAAAATTCATTAAAAAAATTATTTTAAAATTCACCACAATGATCACTTCTAATTTTAACAATTTTCAAATCTTTTTTATTTTTAATTCTTTTTACAAAAATAGAAAATTCTTTAAAACATTCATCTTTATTTGCAAGAAAGATTTATCGATGTAAAACGTAAAAAATCATTAATGATAACAAATACATAATGTTTACCTCCTAGAGAGGCAACACACATAGGACCAAAGATATCAACATGTAATAATTGCAAGGGTTTAAAAGTAGATACATCATTAATGGATTTGAAGGTGTTCTTGGTTTGTTTACCTTTAGCACAATCTTCACAAATAGAATCCTTGATAAAGATTAGATTTGATAGCCCTTTTACAAGATTTTTCTTGGATAGCTTAGATATTAATTCCATGTTAGCATGTCCAAGCCTCTTGTGCCAAATCCAAGGATCTTCATCCACCACGGCAAGACACTTCACATTTTGATCTATTAGCTTATTCATCTCAAAAATATAAACATTAGATCTTCTAAAAACAACAAAAATGATTTTATCATTCATACGAACAATACATTTATCCGGTTTAAAAGAAATGTCAAAGCCTTTGTCACTTAATTGACTAATACTAAGAAGATTATGATTTAGTCCTTTAACAAAATAAACATCCTCAATTATGAGAGAATGTATCTTACCAATATTACAAATACCTACAATTTTACTTTTCTCACTGTCACCAAAAGAGATATTGCCTCCTTTAATTCTTGATAGGGTTGTAAATAATTTCTTGTTGCCCGTCATGTGATGTGAGCAATCACTATCAAGGTACCACAACTCTTGTGCGAGACGTTCCCTACATGTAAATAAGTTGCAAAACCTTTAGGTACCCAAATTTTGGGTCCTTGAATGTTAGTATTTTTGGTACCCTTAGGTATCCACATTAACTCATAAGAATCAATGTTATTTTTAATCCTATAATGAGTAGAAATATGACCATATTTCATGCAATATGTGCACAAAAACTTTTTCTTGTATGTAGGAGCATAAGATTTATGACACCACCTTCTATCAACATGATGATGACTAGAATAAGCATGATTAGATTTGATTCTATCATTTTCAATTTCTAGTCTCTTAATTCTAGATCTTAGTTGTTTGTTTTCAAAGTCTAGATCTCCTATCATTTTATTTTTTAGAGCAATAGAGGATTGTAGTTGCTCAAACTTAGAGTCACAAGAAACATGTAAAATTTTGAACGAAGAATATTCTTTTGCTAATCTTTTAAATTCAATATTTAATTCTTCTAAAGCTTCTTCTAGTTCACATTGCATATAAATAGATTCACTTTCAGTTTCGGATTGTACCTCATCTTCACGAGCCATGAAGTAAATGTTTGGGTCATGAAAAACAATCTTGGCGTCCTCATCATCGTTATCCGAATCACTTGGTTCGGATTCATCCTATTCGGCGTGCATAGCCTTATTCTTCTTGTACTTCAAGTATTTTTCCTTTACTTTGGGTCCTTTGCAATGTGTCCCGGTTCATTGCATTTGAAACATTTATCTATACGAGAGGGAAACTTATTGTTAGATCGATTTTTAAATTTTTTATTCATTTTAATTAATCTTAATATTCTTCTAGAGAGATGTGTCACTTTTCTAGAGACATCAACTTCACTATCCGAGGAGGATGAGTCATCAATTGCTCCTTTGAGCGCAATAGTCTTTAATTTTTGAGATGGCTCCTCGATTGCCTTTGGGGGCACTTCCTCCTTCTCATTGATCTTCTTCTCATAGACGTTGAGCTTTCCAATGAGACCATCAAGAGAAAGTGTTGTAAGATCATGAGCTTCTTCGATGGCCGTAGCTTTGAGCTCTCACACCGGCGTCAAAGAACAAAGAATTTTGTAGTTCATCTCTTAGTTCGTCAACACCTTATCAAGACCATGCAATTCATTTATGATGTTAGTAAACCGAGAAAACATAACATCAATAGATTCATTTGGAAGCATTTTAAATATAATCATGCATGAGGCTACTAATTTTGGACTCCTTAACTTGAGGGTTTCTTCATGAGTGATACACAAATTTTTTCAAATTTCGTGTGCGGTTGCACATGTGGAAACCCTATTGTATTCATTGAGGGTAAGTTCATAAGTTAATGCATTCATGACCTTTATATTAAGGTTTGCTTTAAGCCTCTCACCATCGGTCATACTACTACTACTAGGTTTCTCAACATATTTCTTCTTTATAATGTTTAAGATATCAAGGTCAATGCATCATAGATAAATCCTCATTCTAGCATTCCAATAAGCAAAGTTGCTACAGGTAAAAAGTGGGGGTCTAGTGGTGAATTGTCCCTCAAGCATATACACATTCAAAGAAGACTCCATTGGATCTTTTCTCTAAGGTGGTTAAACAAAATAAATAAATAAATATAGAGACCTTGCTCTGAGATCAATTGTTAGACCCTAGAGGGGGGTGAATAGGGTTATGAAACAATAAATATGTAATTAAAAATAAGACAATACAATACACCACAAAATAAAATACTAAAACAATATAAATGAGATGGGTTAGGAAATAGTTAGCCAATTGTGACACGCGATATGTTCACGAGGTTCGGTCCACCGACCTACGTCCTCGTTCCTCAATCTCGAGGAGAATTTTACTATCACAACCCGGTTTGAAAGCCAAAACTTCTTCACAACGATCTACTCTTGAGATCTCACAACCACACAGTAGGTCTCCTCGAGATCAAGCTCTCCACACGTTACAAATGAAAGAAAAGAAGCTCTCTTACAATAGTCCTATGACAAGATGAAGAGATTGTAATCAAGGTTTTAAATGTCGGTCGACATGTCTGATATGTCGACCGACATATCGGTTTGAGGGCTTGAGCGACATGACATAAGCGTTTTCAACTCGTATGTCGGTTTTTAGGGCCAAATCGAAAATATCGGGGTCATATCGGAATATCGGCTGATTTTTCAGCTTTAAAAAATCTGATGATATGACCCTTTTTTTAGATCTTTTTTTATTATCGAATTTGGGTTTAGTGATAAAAACCCAAACTCGTTTGACCCGTTTTCTTATTTAAGGGTTTCTTATGAATCCGATAGAAAGAAAATAGTAAAATTAGGACTACAACGGACTTGGGAACCGATCACTCCTTTCGTGAACGACAACGCTTTTCCCTCACCTCCATCTCGGCCCCCTGTTGTCCATCTCCCATTGCACCCCGAAATCCGAACCCTAACCGAACCCGAGGGCAGCAGGGTATACTGTCATCGGGATAAAGGGAAGAGAGTGCTCGGTGACTCAACCGAAGGACCCCGAGCAGACGAAGAAGAAGAAGAGCCCCGACACTGCCTCCCTGCGACGTCGAAATCCACCCATCACCGGCGCCACCTTTAGAATTTACAAAGTACGCTTATATTGAATTTAGGAATGCATAGATTATATTTAGGACATGATATTATACATATGTACACCACCCGATATGGTAATCCGATATTTAGTCTATATCCCCCGATATATCCCCGATTTTTGCTATCTGATATGGATTTAAGCCTTCCGACATGAACCCAACATCCGACATTTAAAACCTTGATTGTAATTTGAAGCTTGGGATGTGGGGTTTATAAGTGTGAAAACAAATAAAAGTTGAAGCTCTTTTAAACAATAAACAACAAACTCAAGAGATTTTAAATGCTTGCTTGGTTACTGAAGTGAATGGGGTTGGTGGGTATTTATAAGCATTCAAGAGAACAACCAAACTCCAAAGAAACAAACAAAAATGTTCAAAAGTCGAGAAATCTAGAAACTGTACAAAACTAGCCGTTACAGATATCGATCGACTGATGAGCTGAATCAGTCGACTGACGAGCTGACCGTTACAGACAGCTAATAACTTATCAGTCGACTGATGAATCTCGTAAGTCGACTGATGACCTCATCAGTCGACTGGTCAGTCGACCGAATAAGAAACAGAAACTATTGATGATTCTGGTTAGTTTCATCAGTCGACTGATCCTTTGCATCAGTCGACTGATAACAGATTTTCAGCTTTTTCAGATTTTTGAAAACGAGTTTGCAGAGCCTTTAAAAAATAGTAAATAAATTCAAAAAATTATAAAACTTTGGAAAAAGTTTTCAAATATAATAACAAACTTGTTTAACAAGGAATTTTGTAAAAAAGACCTCGTATTTGTGAAAACTCAACGTTTAGCAACAATGTCAAAATACGGGTTTTGAAAATGTGTGAGTGTGTTATCCCAAGAGCTTCAAATGTAACCTATCATACTATTTGCCTACATTACTCACTAGAGAGAAATAAAAATACAAATATCCCTCACATATAAGAATACGATTTCTTGGTCTTGATATTTGCTCATATCTTTGATGAAGCTTCTTGAGTGTTGTGCTTTTGATAGCTTTGCTTCATCACTTAGCCTCCACTTCCTTGATACCTTCGTTGTAGCTTGTTCCATCCAATCCTCCAGTTTATAGGTACTAAAAAGCCTGATATTCTTGTAATCTACAATATCACTTAACAAGCAATTAGTACTAATAATGGTGGTTGTAAATCATCATCAAAACATAAAGGCTAACACTTCTTCTCCTTTTCCCCCTTTATTTTGATTTAATTGTTGGACTCGGCGACAATTCTTTTTGCATCGGCTAGCTTCTCATCTTAATGTAATTAATTTTATTTTCCCTATTCCTTTTTTTAATATATATTTTTATAAATACTACGGCAACTTATGAAGGGAGTACAATGACTTGAGGAGTACAGAAACTCTGATGAGAGCGGAAAATCAAGATAAGGACTACGGGAACTCCGATGAGTGCGGAAACTCAAGATAAGAGGTATGGAAACTCTGACGAGTGTGCAAACTCGAGATAATGAGTACAGAAACTTCGATGATTTTGGAACTTATTGGCTTTTTTCTAAAATAATTTTGATCAAAAGATTCCTTCACACTGCTGACGAGTAGTCTTGAGGTTTCTAGAAAAACGAGGTTTCTTTTCTAGAAAACCGAGGTTTCTTTTCTAGAAAACCGAGGTATGGCCCAGGGTGAACATGCAGACTAATTATTTGGCTTGATGGAAAGTGGATGATAAAGGGTTTTGTTTTGCTTGATGGAGAGAATTTGATGGTGATCACGGATGAAGATAGTGGGAATTTATTTGGAGATTTATGTGATTGGATTCGTTTGATTGGAGGAATGAAAGGGCATAAAAATACCTAAGGTCTTTTTTTTCTTTGTTGTTGCTTGCGGAGGGTTCTCTTTGTTTTTCCCCCTTGATATCTCGGTGTAGGGATTTTTTTAGCACAGGATCGCTCTTTTTTTCCTTAGGTTATGGTCCGCCTCCTTGGCTGAATATAGGCTGGAGGTACATATAGGATAGGCAAAGCGGTAACTTAGTTCTTTAAGAGGATGGTGATAAGATACATCTTTACAAAAGAATCTTGCCAACTAATTTATCCTCATTGATTCTCCTTTATCTCTTCATGGATATGATCAAGTTTGAATTTTCAGTGTTACTCATTTATTCTTAACTGAAATTTAGTTTTAAAGCTGATTCTAAACCATTTTTTTAGTGATTGGTTGGCTGACAGTAGCCCCTTTATCTGTACATCGTTGTTGCACATGCTGCAACAAATCCTGCTTCACATGCCCTGTTTCTTCTTCTTCTTCTTCTTCTTCTTCTTTTCTTTTTACAGTTAAACCCCCATAAGAATAGGAATTTAACTTCCAGGCTAAAAAATATAGCTGGCAAATTTTAAATCCTTCATGCTTTGCCATAGGCTCTCTTCATTCTGTTGGAGCCGGACCTTCCATCTATACTTCTAAAATCTTTCTTAAAAAATGCAGAACCTAAATAATTGAGTACCAATCAAGTTATGATATTCTATCTTCTGTTTTCTAAGATTAACTCTGACACAAAATATTACTAAACTTTCCTTGTTGCTGTGTTTAGTTTTCTAAGCCTCTATGACTATTCAGTTCTTCCTAGAAATTAATTTTCTCGTACTCCTTATTGCTTATAGAGAGCTTTACATTCCTGTCACAGTGCCACAAGTATGTGACCTTGTTGTATTCACTGGAAGTCTTTTAGTTCAGAACTTGAGTGCCATGATTTTGCAAGTGAAACCGTGTCAGTAAGTTCTTCTCTTGTGCTTCTTTTAAAAGTGCACAACTTCTTACATCTTCTAGCCAAACAATGCCAGAGACTTGTTGCATAATTGCATGTCATTTTAATGTTTTCCTGCAATCTTGAAATGTTTTTTGGTCTGCTGATGTATGCTTATAGTGTGATACAAAGCTCAGCTGTTTATGGGGAATTGTTTTCTGGCTAGTACTTGGGTATCATTGGTCTTCTTGTACAGATTGTTTGACACCATGTGAGTTCCTTTAAATCTTCAATGTCTGCTGGAGAAAAGACTCCACTACTTTATATCAACCTTGGCAACAGGATAACCGTTTGAGCATCTGTGTATGAATTACAGGATTATAGATCTCTATCAGACCATTTCATATCTCATTAAACATTGTCCCTATATAGACAATTGCATGATTTGCAAGCTTAGGCTTTCCTCAGTTATCATCGTGTGAATATAACTGAAGAAGGTACTTGATGTCAGTAACTTTGGGATCCATAGTAATAGGACAGGGATGGGAATTTCGGTAATGATATGCTTAGAAGGGTGAGAACAGATAGCATAATGTTAGTATTTTGAATATTGCAGTTCTCGTTTGTTTACTCCTAAACCTTGCTTTCGAGTTATTCTTCTGCCATACTGGTAGTGTTTTTTCCTTGCAACTCAGATTAAACATTTTGGTGTAACAAACTAAAAAATACCTAACTAGTTAACTAATGAACAGTCATGAGGAGGATCTGGATTTATACAAGCTTTTTGAACAGATTAAAAGATCTAAGAAAGCAGAATTGAAGTTCTGAAAAGTAATTTAGATGCGTCTCCAGTATACGTGTTATTCGTCAACAAACTATAAAGATTCTTCCCGTGTTTTCTAAGTTGCGTTTTTTAACCTGGAGAAAACAACAAAAGACTGAAAATTTTTCAGCATCAAAGGTTAAAAATGAATCTCGACTATGGTAAAAAGACAATAATTTTTTTTGTTATCTATTAGAAGTTTCACTCAGCACCTGAAGTTATATCATAAATCCTATGTCAGCTTCATCTAGTTTCCCCCTACAACTCTGAAATGAGTAAATGTATTAATTTCTTAATGTTCTTTCCAGGATTTCAAGGTACCAGTAAAAATTTCAGCAAAAGATCATGGCAAAGCACCATCCAGATCTCATAATGTGCAGGAAGCAGCCAGGGATTGCCATTGGCCGGCTATGTGAGAAATGTGACGGCAAGTGCGTCATATGTGACTCATACGTGCGTCCGTGCACTTTGGTACGAGTGTGTGATGAATGCAACTATGGATCGTTCCAGGGACGTTGTGTTATCTGTGGTGGTGTCGGTATTTCTGATGCATACTACTGTAAGGAATGCACTCAACAGGAGAAGGATCGTGATGGTTGCCCTAAGATAGTCAATCTTGGCAGTGCCAAGACTGATCTTTTCTACGAGCGCAAGAAATATGGTTTCAAAAAGAGATGAAAATGAACTATATCTGCATTTGCGTTTGAGCTCAAAAAAGAATGACAATGATTATTATCTGCATTTTCTGTTGAGAATGTAATGCAGGAGATGTTCATGCATCGAATTGTCTTTCAAGCAAAGGAAATGGAATTAAGCTTACTATGTACTTGTTTTTTAAAAGAAAATGATGCATATTTAGACAGTTAAGACTGTTGTAATTCATTTCAAATGTGATATTTACACATTCCCGTGAGTGGCAATTACTGCCAGTTTTCACTAAGATGAATTGTGTCTGTCAATAGATGATCATGATTTGGAAACTATATAGGATAATAATTATTTACTGTAGAGAGGTAGTACAAATTATTTTCGGTCATCAAAAATCAATATCGATTTACTGTTATTGCATAGAGACTCACATTCTTTTATTTTGCCCCCACAAGTCTCCATTATGAAGTTTCATTTGTAAGCTCTGAAGGACATCCTGATCCAAGTAAATCTGTGGCTCCCATGGCCTCTAAAATCCCAGATGCTACCAACAGTTCTCATTTCTCAATTCTCTCCAGCAGGAAAAAATTCAATTTCTTTTGAAATGCCTCACCCTAAATTTCTACTCCCGACTTCTTCTCCCTCCATCTTTCTCTCCCCCCTCCGAAACCCAACGGCTAGTTTTTCAAATCTCAACACCAAGGAGCTCCTCCTCGCCTCCTTAGCTCCCTTAGCCTTTGCCTTAACCTTGAACTCTCCTCTTCCCTCTCTTGCTATTCCCCCTCCAATTTCCCAAACTGCCCCTAGACTCCCTCCTCCAACTCCCTACTCCCAATCCAAGAGCTTCCAGATAGGACTAGAAAATGGGTACGTCAAAACATCACCTTCACTCTTCATGAGTTCGTAGATTTTCCTTGAAAATTTCATTCCGTTAATCTGACATTGTGTTTTCTTGCAGGAAGATTAGGGTTTGTCCTTCAGTGAACCCCGGGTGCATCTCAACGAACCCGAAGTCTTCATCGTTTGCTTTCCCCTGGGTGATTCCTGAGGATGCATCAGAGAGTGCAGTTGAGGTGAAGAGGAGATGATCATGTTTTGCTATTTTGGTCTTGTTGGGTATGAGCTAAAGGTGTTTGTATTTATGTCTCTTTTGTTTTTTTTCTCTCTCTCTTGCAGAGATTGAGGGAGGCTATTTTGAAAACACAGAAGAATGCAAAGATCGAGGTTAATGAAGAAACTCCAGACGGTAAGATTTTCGGTAAAGATTATTAAGATGTTAACTTGGGTAGGTTTGGTTAATATTAGAAGTCGCTATAATAATGACAATGAAATGTCATACTTGTGTCTATTGTTGTAAATTTGTTTCTTTCTTGCTCTGTAGCTTTGTTTGTGCTCAAAGTGTCAACTTTTCCCTTCTTCTGGTCACCTAATTTAGAATTTCAGCTTGGCTGCACGAGCTTGGACTACATAACTAACCTTGGATACTTTTAATTTTTGACATAAAAAGGTGTTTAATAGGTGATGAAAAAGTACATCAAAGTATAACCACACATAGCAACTAAACAGACTGAAAAGAAAATAAAAAATGACAATTACAACATTGTCCTGTTGCACCATTTAGTCTCTTATATTAAACAAATTAATGATTTGCGGTAGATATTTGTGATAGTTCGCATACTTATCTCGGAGCTCCCCAACAAATTACCACCCAAATATTTTTTATCTTCTTCAAAACTCCTCTTTCTGCACTTTTATTGAGGACGGATATCTTGATATACCACATTCCTCACGGCAGTATGTTACATGTTTTGCTTCCTATACCTTGAATTGATGAACCCTGAGTTTGTGCCTTTATGCCATCAGGTTTAGGAAGATATAAGAATGAATGTGGTGTATTTACACCTGATGAAGATCACTGTCAAGTGGTAGTACATGCTACATGTCGGTGTTCAAGGTGTAAATATTGATAATTCATGCTGAGGACAATGTAATTGGTAGATCAAGCTCTCTACAATCAAGAATATTTAAATGGTTAGGGGATATTGGCTCCAAAAGGGTGGAATGTATATGTTTTGAGGTTTTCGCAAGTGTACTTCCAAAATCTATAGTATTTGCAAATTACCCTTCCACATATAGATATTTTGCTAATTTACGCCCTCCGCCCAAAAAATATCACTAACATATCCCCCTTATATCCAAATTAATTTTATTTAGTTCTACTATATATATATATAATAGTATATATATTATATAATATATATATATACTATTATATATATATAGGGTTGCAAAACTCCTCATCAACTTAAGTGGCATAGAGATAAATAGTTGTCCAACCAAACTTATTTCTATCCATGCGATCTTGCCTAGGGCATCCTTGCATGATATGTAAGAGACTTTTTATATTAATAAATGAGTTGCTAAAAATAGTTTGTGTGGCATAACTATTCCCTATCCACTTAAGTGATAGGGATGTCTCTATCCTCTCTCTCTCTCTCTCTCTCTCTATATATATATATACTACTATATGATATAATGTGTGTGTGGCTGTGTGCTGTGTGTGTGTAGTATAGAGCCAAAACTTTGTGTCAACTTAAGCGCGATAGCAAAAAGTTGTTCTGAGTATGTGTGTGATAGAGCCAAAACTTGCTGTCAACCTTACCGTGCCCGATAGCCAAAAAGCTTATCCACACAAAACTTTTTTAGCCCCATGTCATATTGCCTAAGATCCTTGCCATGATATGAAAATTTGATTTTTCTATATTAATAGCCAATGCGCCGTGCGGAGGAAGTTTGCGTTCGCGACAGCAACTTAAGTTGATCACGGAGTCTTACTCTTCTCTGCTACTCGTTTAATATATATACTATATATATCATACACTAATATATAACATATATATACTATATTACTACTATATTATTTGTTAAGTCTTAAAGCTGCTAGACACCCAAAGTCGAGACGAAAACTGGAATCAAAATGACGAAGAAAACGACCTGATAGATCCACGATCGACCGCGAGAATCTGGCGGTCGACCGCGAACGTGCACAGGAGCTCAAGAGGAGCTGGATTCGAAGGCGGTCGACTGCGGAGGTCGACCGCGCCAACCTTGTAGGATTTTTGGTCTCGGGTTTTTGATACGGTCGATCGCGATTGGTGTGCGGTCGACCGCGAGACCTGCACGGTCGATCGTCACGGTCGACTGCGACGCTGTCAAACAGTTTTCTAAACTGTTTTGGATTCTGTTTCTACCAGGACTCTATATATACCTTAAACGTTTTTAGGGTTTATACAACACGAAAAAAGAGAGCTTTTTTTACTGCAGAAAGAGAGAGAATCTCTGAGAGATTAAACCATAGTTTGAGAGCTTATATTTCTTCTTCAATTAATAAAAAAATTGTGTGGTGTGGCTCCCGAGGACGCTCCCGAGGACGTAGGCACATTGCTGAACCTCGTTAAAGCTGTGTGTTCGTCTCATTTACTATTTTACAAGGTTAGATCTTTATTTGTGGTGTTATTCCTACTTTCTTACTTTTAACACAAGGTCCGGAAGGGTAATGGTTCGATTGATTATTTCGAATCCTTAATAACTGGTATCAGAGCTTCGTTTAGCAATTTGTGTGAAAGTCATGGTAAAGGAAAACAAATCAAAAATCAAGAAGTTTGACGGTTCAGATTTCGCCTACTGGAAGTCATAGATGGAGGATTATCTGTACCAGAAGGACTTATATCGCCCGCTGATGGGCAAAGAAAAGGGACAGAAGGAGGAGTCAGATGGTGATTGGGAGATACTGGATAAGAAGGCTCTAGGGCAAATCCGGTTGTCGTTTGCTAAATTAGTAGCCTATAATATTTTGAAGGAGAAGACGACGGTGAGGCTTATAGAAGCACTCGTAAAGATGTACGAGCAACCGTCGACAGCAAACAAGATGCATCTCGTCTAAACTCTTTTCAACCTTAAGATGGCAGAAGGACTGTCCTTCACGATGCATCTCAGCGAGTTTAACTCGATTGTTGATCAGTTTATATCCGTGGACATCACGTTTGATGACAAAGTGTAAGCCATATTGATTCTATCGAAGTTGCCGGATAGTTGGTCAGGTTGTGTGACGACAATCAGCAATTCGGCGGGGAAGGAGAAGTTGAAACTAAGTGAGGTTGTTAGCATGATTCTATCCGAGGAGGTTAGAAGGAAATCGTCCGAATCAGAAGGGTCAGGTTCAGCTCTAAACTTCGAGCAGAGAGGCAGAAGCCAGAAGAAAAGAAATCAGAACATGAATCGGTCGAAATCAGTGAAGAAGAGGGCGAACTCGAAGGTTAGGCCTATCAAAGGGAAATGTTAGAACTGCGACCAGGAGGACTATATGTCTTCAGTCTGTAAAAGTCCAAAGAAGGATGCAGGTGAGCAGGAGGCTCATATCGTGCAGGATGTTTTGATCCTTGCTATGTATAGCGACTCGGATTCTTGGATCATCGATTCAGAAGCCTCTTTCCACACCACTGCTAACAGGAAGCTATTTCAGAATTATGTAGTAAGAAACTTTAGAAAAGTGTATTTGGGGAATAACGAGCTCTGTAATATTGTTGGAAAGGGTGAAGTGCAGATTCAGATGAAGGGTTCTAAGTGGACCTTAAAGAACGTGAGACACGTGCCGAAGCTGAAGAGGAATCTTGTTTCGGTGGGACAGTTTGGAGCAAAAGGCTATGTTTCGACATTCACAGGGGATTCGCGAAGAATTTGCAACGGTACGATAATAGTTGCTCGAGGCAACAAGCTAGAAACTCTCTACCTCACCTTACATGCGAGTGACACCCTCGCAATTACAGTTGGCAAAGAGAGTACAGATCTATGACACAAGAGGCTAGGGCACATGAGCGAAAATGGGATGAAAATTTTGCATTCACAAGGAAAGCTAACCGGGATTGACGTCGTGGAAGTCGGGATTTCTGAAGACTGCATCTTTGGGAAGCAGAAGAGGGTTAGTTTTCAGAAGGGTGAAAGGCCACCTAAGGCTCAGAAGTTAGAGTTAATTCATACAGATGTATGGGGTCCAGCCAGTGTGTCTTTTTTTGGCGGTTCGAGATATTATGTTACATTCATCGACGATCACTCAAGGAAGGTGTGGATCTACTTCATGAAGCACAAGTCAGAGGTGCTTGGAATCTTCAAGAAGTGGAAGGCCATGGTAGAGAACGAGACAGATCTAAAGATGAAGTGTCTGAGATCAGACAATGGTGGGGAATACGAGCTGAATGAGTTCAAGAGGTTCTGTGTTACAAATGATATTCGTTTAGAGAGGACTATTCTAGGGACGCCGCAGCAGAACGGCATTGCGGAGAGGATGAACAGGACCTTGACAGACCGTGCCAGGAGCATGCGATTACATGCGGGTCTGCCTAAGATATTTTGGGCAGATACGGTGCATACGGTAGCTTACCTTATTAATCACGGGCCATCAGTTCTATTAGAGTTTGGGATTCCAGAGGAGGTTTGGAGTGACAAGAAGATAAATCTCTCATACTTACGGGTATTTGGTTGTGTGGCTTATGTTCATATAAGTGATCATGTCAGGGACAAGCTAGAAGCTAAGTCACAGAAGTGCACATTCATTGGATACGACATTGATGAGTTCGGGTATCATCTTTGGGATGAGAAGAACAGGAAGATCATCAGAAGCAGGGACATGATATTCAATGAGGAGGTGATGTACAAGAACAGGAAAGATGCCAAGGATAGCCAAAACAGTGGGAGCGGCATTTCAGATACAGATGGATCTGAGTACATGGATATAGAGGAACTTCCAGATAGGGGTGATGATGTTTGTTCTGATCAGAGAATGAAGAAGGCTCCAGGTGCAGAAGAAACTACCCAGGACATAGAGCTTAGGAGGTCATCCAGGGTACCCAAACCAAATCCCAGATATCTTTCATCACTTGACTATTTATTATTGACAGATAGCGGTGAGCTGGAGTGCTATGAAGAGTCAATGCAAGTGAGTGAATCTCAGCAGTGGGAGCATGCGATGCAAGAGGAGATGAATTCTCTACTCACTAATGAGACATGATAGTTAGCCCAACTACCTACACAAAAGAAGACCTTACATAACAAATGGGTCTACCGGGTCAAGCAAGAAAGTGATGGAAGCAAGAGATTCAAGGCCAGATTAGTAGTGAAGAGGTTTCAAAACCGGGAAGGAGTGGACTACACAGAGATATTTTTTCCTGTTGTGAAACTCATAACCATCAGAGTAGTGTTGAGTTTGGTGACTGCAGAAGACCTCTTTCTTGAGCAGTTAGATGTGAAGACTGCCTTTCTTCATGGTGTCTTGGATGAAAAAATCTACATGAAGCAGCCTGTTGGCTTCATTGAAGAAGGAAAGGAAGAGATGATGTGCAAGCTCAAGAAGAGCTTATATGGTTTAAAACAGGCTCCGAGACAGTGGTATAAGAAGTTTGATAACTTCATGTAGAATAATGGCTACAGAAGATGTAATTCGGATCATTGCTGTTATTTCAAAAGGTTTGAGTCCAGCTTTATTATTTTGTTATTGTATGTTGATGACATGTTGGTAGCAGGACCGTGTTTGAAGGAGATAAACAGTTTGAAGAAGCAGCTAGCAAAGGAATTTGTAATGAAGGATCTGGGTGCGGCGAAACAGATTCTAGGGGTGCGAATCAATAGGGATGAAGCTGAAGGGACATTAAGATTGAGCCAAGCTGAATACATTGAGAATGTACTTCAAAGGTTCAACATGCAGAATGCTAAAGTTGTTAGCACACCCATTGGAAGTCAGTTCAAGCTATCTGAGGAGCAATCACGTAAGGCAGATGCAGATAGAGAGCATATGAGCAGGGTGCCATATTCTTCGGTTATTTGGAGTCTTATGTACGCGATGGTTTGCACGAGGCCGGACATCGCCCATACAATGAAAGTTGTGAGCAGATTTACAAGCAATCCAGGGAAACAACATTGGGAGGCCGTGAAGTGGATAATATGATACTTGAGAGGGACAACGAACAAGCCATTATGTTTTAGGAGGAAGGAGTTGGTGCTGCAGGGATACGTGGATACGGACTTCTCCGGTGATCATGATACGAGGCGAAGCATCACGGGGTATGTTTATACCTTAGCGTCGACAGCAGTGAGCTGAGTCTCACGTCTGTAGAAGATTGTGACTTTGTCTACAACCGAGGCTGAGTATGTCGCGGTGACTGAAGCAAGCAAAGAGATGATCTGGTTGAACGGGTGCTTGGAAGAGTTGGATCTGAAGCAAGGGAAAGAAGTTTTTTATTGTGATAGCCAAAACGCTATACATCTTGCCAAGAATCCAGTATATCATGTCAGAACGAAGCACATCGACGTTAAATATCATTTTATACGCTCGCTAGTTGAAGACGGAAAGTTGCATTTGATGAAGATTTTAGGGAGTCAAAATCCGACAGACATGTTGACGAAGGCAGTTACCATTGAGAAACTGGAGTTGTGCGTAACTTCAGTTGGCCTTTACGAGTAGAAGACGAAGGCGGAGCCACACTATGAGGATCGGCACGATCGTCGGGATATTGTTGATTGAAGAAAGAATTTTTCTCGGGGGAGAAGATACATGCAAAGAAGGGGAGAGTTCGGGTGAACTCACTGTAGGTACTTTGATCTCTAAGTGGGAGATTGTTAGTCTAAAGTGTAGACCCAAAGTCAAGACGAAAGATGGAATCAAAACGACGAAGAAAACGACCTGATAGATCCACGGTCGACCGCGAGAATCTGGCGATCGACCGCGAACGTGCACAGGAGCTCAGGAAGAGCTTGATCCGAAGGCGGTCGACTGCGCAAACCCTGTAGGATTTTTGGTCTCGGATTTTTGATACGGTCGACCGCGATTGGTGTGCGGTCGATCGCGATTGGTGTGCGGTCCACCGCGAGACCTGCACGGTCGACCGCGACGCTGTCAAACAGTTTCCTAAACTGTTTTGGATTCTGTTTCTACTAGGACTCTATATATACCTTAAACGTTTTTAGGGTTTATACAACACGAAAAAGGGCAGAAAGAGAGAGAATCTCTGAGAGATTAAACCCTAGTTTGAGAGCTTGTATTTCTTCTTCAAGTAATAAAGAAATTATGTGGTGTGGCTCCCGAGGGCGTAGGCACGTTGCCAAACCTCGTTAAATCTGTGTGTTCGTCTCCTTTACTATTTTTACAAGATTAGATCTTTATTTGTGGTATTATTCCTACTTTCCTACTTTCAACACAAGGTCCGGAAGGGTAAGAGTTCGATTGATTGTTTCGAATCCCCAACATATATATATATATAGATATATA